GTGTGTGTGTGTGTGTGTGTGTGTGTGTGTGTGTGTGTGTGTGTGTTTGTGTTTGTGTGTGTGTGTGTGGCCTTTGGCTTCATGTTGCACTGCAGACCTGGCATAAATCAAAGCTTTAAAGGGGCAGCAGGAATCTATTAAGCCTAATTGAACTCTGGCTATAATTAGTTTGTTAGTAACACTGAAACACATCATGTGACCAAAAGGGTCTTATATTATATTCAGTCTGTTATTTAGATCTCATCTCTGCTCTTAGTTAAACTGAATCTAGACAGTTACACAATTTCAGTTGTTCAGATTAATCTTGTGATGACTTTCACCTATTTTTTTTAAGATTTCAAATTACTGGATCATATCAGTATTTGATTGTTAAAAGTCTGATTGAAAATTGMTCAAAGAACTGCAGTAAAACTACCTGTCAGTAAATTCAAGTCAGACAGCAAACACCTCAAACACTACAGGACATGTAGTGAAATGTGAGYATCAGGCAGGGACTGTTCTAAAAAGATTTCAAAGGGTGGTCAGAGGAGGGCACTGGTGTATCACACCAAAACTAAAACCAAAAGCCAGAACTGAATCTCAGGAGTTGTTAGAAAGATACTGCATCATGACATTATTAMAATGTAACCCTGATACTGAACAGCACAGACATGATTCAGTTCAGAGAAGTTTGACCTCTTTTTGAGGTTTCTTTGGAAGTTTGATTCCTTTTTTTAATTCATGCTCATAAAAATAACATAATGTGGCTTTCTTGCTTAGTTTATTTTATTTTTTTAAAATACATGTTTGCTATAATAGAACCTTTCTGCAAATGAGAAGGATTGATGAGTCTAAAAACAGAGCAGTCTAACTGTAAGACTGAATCCTGGTTAAAGACCCACCATACTTGGCCTGAAGCTGAACAGTCGACCCCTGGTCTTTTGATTGCAAAAACAACAACAATAAAAGAAAAAACTCATTGGCAGGCCCAATAGATWGCCCTTCATCAGAGCTAAACAACAAAAATAAAATCTGAAGCTCCTGTTAAATAGTTTTTAAATTAGAAGCATTTTTGTGTGTCCAGACAACCCCTTTTCAGCCTACTACTTTAGGCACTCCTTAGGTTTAGCTGTGTTGAACCACGGCAGCATCCAAAACATGCAGGACACTGGCCCCTTGAGGACCGACTTTGGACACCACTGCACTAAAATATTAATAACTTTGTTAATATTATTAATAATAGTTTTTATGATTTCTACATCATCAGTTCTTTTTTTCCCTATGTTGCCAACATGTACAGTAAAGGTAAATCCAGACTCTTTCCTGTTCTTCATAGCACTGTAGCTTCTACTGTATGGGCCTTTCCCAATCGGTAGCTACCATAGACTTGAATACAGATCACTAGACTGAGCCCCGCTCATACCGTCCACTGGTAGTGTCTGTGACAGCTTGGAGGAGCAGAAATGGCGTCCAAAAAGGGCAACAGCTTACAGCYTCCATAGAAACTAATAGATAAACAAGCTGAACCGGATCTGTGTCGCAGATTATCTGTCATGTTCTTACAATAAATTAATAACTGTGTTAATTTCATTCAACAATCATGTAAAACAGCAGATTTATACCAGAAAAATATATAATTTATAAGTAACAATGATCTAAACCAGACCTGATGTCAGCCTGTAACTTAGACTTTAGC